GAATTGGATGAACTGCGGATGGGATTATGATTCTGAGAGTTTACAGCAATTTAAAAATGATGGCTTGAGCTAAAACCTTGCCTAGGGAGGCAAGAAGACAGCAGAGGAAAGATTGATGTCTCTTCCACATGCCACAGGGGGCGCCCCATCAGGGGTGTGCTGACTCTGTCAGTGTGTGCTGACTCAGCGCTCCTGTCCTGCCAGTGCTCCCTTCCTGCAAAGACTAATGGAGTGCAGCCCAACGTGAGTGTGAATATTTGTTACCATGGTCTTAACCCAGCGATGGTTTTCTGTTCACACTGTGCTGGAGTTTTTAAAAGGTGAATGAATTCTCAAGCTGTGTGTGTGTGTGTCTGCATCTGTGAGCAGCGGGGGTTAGGTGGAGGAAGGAGGGGTGTTTTAAAAATATTCGGCCTTGATGGCAAAGACACATGCCTGTTGCTTTTTCTATCACAGAGATTTTTTATGCTGACACCCCCAATGAATATTTTATGACAGTCTCTCCCATACACATGCATTCTCTCTGAGGATATAAAATCTGCATATTGTATTCAAGCATAATACAGGCTGTGACCTGCCTTATTCTGCTGCTGACTGTTACAGAACAGTGCATTCACTTGAGGTCTAATTTAAATCTGGCAGGGGAAAGGACAGCTCTGGCGTCCTGCATTAAGATATTCTCCTAGATAAGCCGTGGCAGATTTTGTCCCCCTTTCTGATTTAGAAATATCACTATTAGTCTGCAGCTCTGCGGTAAGAGAGAGAGAGCATCACCTTTTTTTTTTTCTGCTGGCTCCCAATGTATGTGGAGAATGTGCTGGGCAGTTAGAGCCTATCATTAATAACCAGACAGGCAGAGCTGACAGTTGCTGATTGGAATGAAGAACCTCTGCAAAGCAGACAAGCTACAAATTTGCCTGACAGCCGAAGCTTCCATTACAGAGAGTCAGCTGCCAAAACAGCAGTTATCAGAGACAGAGAGGGCTTTGCAGAGAGGGAGTGGAAACACACACACTCACACACACACACTCACTCACACACACACACACACACACACACACACACACACACACGCAGGGTGACACAGTCATGGAGACTGATCCCCACATTCTACGTTATGGGATGTGGGGCAGATCCTGCTGGGAAAAATAAGTCTTGCAAAAGATTCCTGTGAAAATCTTTACAGACAGCTGTACGGGATCTTAACATATGAAGCAGAGAATCATTTTTGTCTGTTTGCATGATCTTCTGTGCAAATTGTCCTTCGCAGTCAACTGCTTTTTAAGTGAAATAACTGAAATGAAAGACATTAACCTTTAATGGCACAGATATTTTATCATGTTTCAAATAAATACAGTACACAGGACAGTGTACTGTAGTAAACATCTTCATGGAACTATTCCCCATGAAGAAAAGGCAATTATTATAAATACCAAGAGTACATCAGTTTGTCAGAAAAGCCTTTGAAAGGATCACAGCAGCAGCTCTATGCCAGCCTGCTATCTCTGGAACTGGGACAGGGTCACTGAACCTCTCACTGTGCCAACACACTTTTGCCCTCTGCTCTCCTTTGCTCATGTCGGCTCACACTGACACACATGTTGAAGAGCTACAGCTACTGTTTGGCCCTGGATGCACGTCTACATAGCATTTCCTCTTCTGGAATAACTTGCACCATTATGGAATGGCCACAGCACAGCCTGTGATTGTGAGCTCCGGGGAGGGATGTAAAGGAATGGCAAGACGTGCTTCGAAGTGCCAGAGCCTGGGTCACGAGACCAGTGGGTCATGGAAGTAATGATGCAGTGTGGTGCAAGACGTCAGGCAACAGACCAGGCAAAAGGAGCAACAGCACAGCATGAGTAAATTAATACTCTGACGTGCATCAGAGGGATTCATTCACTAAAGCTTTTGAAGTCTGAAAAAAGAATATGACAATGCATAGAAACAAAGAGTTGCCTAGCCCTCTGTAAAGTCTTCCTCTCCAGCCTGAGTGTTGCCAGAAGGAAGAGCAGTGCTATGGGCAGGGGGAACTGTTTGTCGGGGCGCACATTGCTGTCATTGCTGTAGGTCCAGAATTATCCCCATTGAGCCTCGGAATAACCCGACTGCAAGCAGGCAGACGCACACGGGCTCTCAGGTGACAGGGAACACAGACTAAATTCTCAGAGAGCCCGGAATGCGCATCACTCGTCAGCCGAGATAACTTGGGGCTTTTTTTTTGTCCCCAGACACGCAAATCTCTTGATCTCTTGACAGCGTGGAGAAAACTAAACTAAACCCCTCACAGATAATCCACTTGGATAAGAGATCACTTAATAGTGGGGGGAAAAAGCTGTCACAGCAGTTGCATTTCAGACTTGTATATCTCTGGTTTATCATGATCAGTCTGATGTGTAACACTTGTAAAAAGTCAACTGAGGCTCTAAAGCTTCTCCTGAAATCCGAGATCTATTGACTCTGAAGTATCTGTGGTCTGAAACAAACAGGAAGAAGTGTAACCAGCAGTTTTAAATGCCTATTTCTGTAAAGAGCAAACAACATACTTTCTGAATCATTATTTTGCTGAGGACAAAAAAATCTAAGAGATGGGGACACAGGAACTATGCTTAACATATTCTGTGAATTTTCCATCATAAGTTCTGTTTATGCGATCATGCTTTGAAAACTATAATAAAAAGAAATAACAAAAAGGAGAACTCCAACTTTACACCCCAAGACACCTCAGTCTTTTTTGAATTGTAAATCTGGTGGGCTCTTTGAATTGCTGCTGTTCCAGAATTAGAGATTCTCTCACAAGCCCTGCCAATAGCTGTAAGCGCTGTGCCCTCTTGAGAGCACACCAACCACCCCAGCCTCCTGCAAGCTTGGCTGATCTGTAGCCATCCGTAGCTCAGTCACAGTGAAATCACACTGTATGCTGCCTGAATCTTGCTTGGCAGAATGGGCTACTCTCTATCACAAGCATGAGGCTGAGGCCCCTGTTTCTGCAGTTCTAAAGTCCACAGGAAACACCACGAAACCGGTTCACTCTTGGTTGCTTATTACAGGCAGGAAAATACACACATTCTGTCCTATCTATTTTAGTCACCAACAAAATAAAAATAACCCTATCAATTTCCTGTGATAAATGGCTCAACATGTTCCAGTGTGATACACAGGAACAATGTCTTCCTTTCCAAATCATCTCATAGAATATGTGATCTACCTTATCTGTAGGTAACTGTTGTGAATTGCCAAGAATGGCGCAGGGGAAAAACTGAACACATTATGCACTGAACATGACACAGGAAAAGTGTGCTTGAAGACACTTGCCGCATATTGACCTGTGAGGACACAACTCTCACACATGCTGCGCAGATCTTATTCCTTGAAACTGGAAACCGCAGGGAAAAAAACAGCCCCGGAAACAGGAAAATAAATGATTCAACATCTTTGTTATGCATCTGTGTGGGAGTCTGAACACGCAATGAGGAATTTTCTCACACATAACTTCCTTCATTTTGAAGATGGCAAAAGAAGAGGATCTTTTCGGAGGAAAATGTCTCTCTACATTGTGTGTGTTTTTATCATGTATAAAAGGCTTGACGGGAGTGGATTATAGATATTACTCAACTCCAAGTACCAAATAGATGGCTTACAACAGCATCTCGCGGAGCCCGATGGCCAAAGATCACACAGCCCTGAGGTGTGGGTGGAGGCGTGTCGAAGAGAGGGTGGGGTGTGTGGGTGTGGGACACCTGTCTTGGCTACACCACCATGGTGAGCTTCCAGCCAGATGGCAAGCAGAATGTCCTGCTTATAGGTCACCTCCCTCCCAAGATCACACATGCACACAATGGGCCATGTGAAACACCAGGAAGGAGAGAGGATTTTTGGAGCATTCAGAAAGCGGCACAAACCACACACGAACACGAACACGCACACGCACAGAAGGATGAAACAGAACAGTGCCCAGAGGAGTGAAAGCTGGCATCCTGCTTCTCCTTCAGCTGTCGTGCAGCTCTTCAAACGGCTCCCGATCGCGTGCTGCCTCTCCACCACTGACAGCAGCCCACACTCTCCGAGAGAGACAGAGGAGACACCAGCAGGGGGAAAACTGCCCCCCCCCACCTCCCAGAGTCCCCAGAGAAGCCGGGGAGTTTGGTCTGAGCTCACTCAGTCGAGTCAGTGACGAGCGATTAGAGCCACAGCAGGCCGGGCTGTGTGGAGGAAGCCGTTTAGGAAATGTTTGTGTAAAAGAGAGATTTACAGAGCAGCTCCCCTTTCATGTCTGACAGCCAGCTGCTACTCTATTTTCTTTTTCCTTTTTTAAACACTGTTCCACATGAGGGCTTGCGGAGAATGTGAGAGCCGGTAGGAGCTAATTGGTGGCGGGGCCATGTCTAGGGCCTGCGGCTGATCACTGTGATAGAGCTTCGTACAGCATCAGAGGCTTATTTCCGTGGTACACATGTGCAGAAACATGCCACCACAATCGCTGCCTCTCAGCACTGGGGCCATTAGTTCAATTCCTGGGGTGCTATCTGCATGTTTGCCTGCGTTTGCTCCCACAAATACATGCTGGTAGGTTAACTGATTTCTAGAAAAATAAGTCCTGGTGTGAGTGTGTGCAAATCTGTGCCTTTGTGCCCTCCGATCGACTAGTGTGCCATTCAGGGCGTACCCCGCCTCATACCCTTTGCTTTGCCATGATAGGCCCTGGCTCCACTGCCACCCTGAATTGGATAAAGCGGTCAGAAAACAGATGGATGCATGGATGCTACCACAAGAACACTGAGAAGGGACTGTCTTATTCCAGCAGCACACCAACATCTCTCCTCTAAATACCAGAGCTTCAGCCCAACCCCTAATATATGTCTGACCCTATCCTAGCCTCTGCCTTAGCATTGCCCTTATCCCAAGATCCAACCCTTCCCCTCAGCCACACAGTAGTCCCAACCCTATTGCTTAAGGAAACCTGCACCAGCAGAGCCAGACATGTTCTCCTGATTGGCTCAACTAGTGAAAGTGCTCGCCTTGTCACTGAGCACTGCCAAGGGGAGGGCGAGATGAGCTCCCAGGAGCCTGCTGTCATTGTAGTGCTGTTGGAGCAAGACACACCTCTCCCCCAATCGGCGCTGAACCTCCAGCAGGGGGCTGTACTGCCTGAGATGTGTGAAGAGACAAATCGCTTGAGAGTGAAGGACCTCAATCTCTCCTGTGTGCGGACGCGGGGTTTGTAGACCTGAAGAAAGATCATCCAAAAAACCTCTATGTAAGAAAAATATATGAATATGATCTTAGAAACATGGACCTCAAACATAGCCCCAGTCCTAACACAATCTTTTGCTTCTAGTTTGATCCCTGAAGCATAGATGCAACCTACAAAAAGAAAATTACTTTCTTGAGTGTCATATGAAGTAATTTAAGTTAAGATCGCTTCAATTTCCTATTTTATCATAACAATTGGAATCCCTGCTTAAGTAACATAAATAAGCCACACTGTTAACTTTGCTTTAAATTAGGAAAGCGATACCATCTGACTGCTTTTTCCACCTTCTTCCATCAAAACAAGAATTAAAAACAGTGGAGTAGTTCTTTTCAATTTCAAGTGAGCATACGCATCATGCCCAGTCTTATCTGCACAATATAATGGGCATCTCAGGATTTCAAACCTGTCATCTGCCAGTCTCATGCTCCATCAATCATGACGCACATCAACAGGGCCAGGCTGTTGATCTGCAGGCATCGCTGCAGGGGCTGTAGTCACCTTGAGAGTCATTACAGCACTCGGCAGTTCTAGTCCCTGTGCATGTGAGCTCAGGCTTACCCTGCGGCTGTACAAAGCATGGCCTGAAATTCTTCCAGCTAAGGTTAATGTTCCTTCTGTACAGGACGGTCCATAGTTACTGGGATCTCCCAGATTCCTCAGTTCTTCTCCTCAGGCACAGCTCACATGGTCAACCCTGGTATGATAAGAATGTTGGAATGATTACTGTTATTACTGTTGTTAAGATTATTGACCATCATTTTTATTCAGGTAGACTTATGAGGATGCATACTTATCAATACAGATGCTTTACATGTGGATGTTTGATTCTGTGGAGCTGAGGAATCTAAATGAGTTATGCAGTGAAACGTGTAGCAGTTTACAAAGTGCACAACATACACAGGACAGAGGAGTCAATGCAACAGCTGAGCTGGTGAGCAGCCTGTGCTGAAGGCAGAAAATCAGGGGTCACCCTATGTGGAACACAAGGAAGCACTCAGCCCCTTGACAGCTGTCCTCTGCTGATAACCTGATCAGAGTCTGGTGTTTTATGACCTGCACACACGCACATGGAAGCATGGCCGTGAGATGTACCGAAAAGGGAGAGGGACAGACCCTGTTGGGGTTCTGCTCTGCTGGAAGAGCATACAGGAAAAACCTTCTGTAAGGGTTTCGCATTAAACGACAATAAGACTGGGGCAGGAGGGTCAAAAAGCTGATCAAATGCATTTTATCAGTGTGGTCTGTGGGAGGGAATCAGGATCTGAGCCAGATGCACAGTTCACTCTTTCTGTCTGTTTCTCTATGATGAGACACCAAGAGCTACAGCTAGAAACCTCTCGCTTCCCGAATAATATCAAAACAGGAACTTATTATCAACAAGTTCAGTCTGTTTTTCAGACAGGCTTAACTATTAAAAAACCTGAAGGTTCACCCACAGTTTTGAAAGTTCAGAAAAAATACAAATGAGTTATGTGTTAAGGGAAGACCCCCTCGGAAATCGGTAATGGCAGCATGCCCATGCAGTGACCTTGGCATGCTGTGCCCAGCATGGGCTAGATGGCCAGCCAGGACTGCAGGCGGTAGACAAGAGCTTGGGGCAATCCAGCCCCACCGCAATGCCCACCTGGGCTCAGGATCGCTGTGCTCCTGCCAGTGCTGGCCCTGCAGACTCTGGTGGTGTCTGTGCACAGCGTAGCATTTGGCCCACATAGCAGCAATTCCTCTGTAAAACCGACACACCATATCTCAGCTTTCAACACAGGTTAATAGAAAGTAGCAGAGTACAGAAAAAACATTCTGTCTAACCTGACCTTGAATAGTGTTTACTATACATATATCCCCCTAGCAGCCCAGACTCCAGAGCAACAGACCAGCTCATCTTTCCCCCATCAGGCTGCATCTCCCCGACTAGACTGCTGTCTTATTCTAAGTCCTGTGGTCACTGGAGCAGTTGAATCAATAGTTCTTGTAGATGGTGTGACATTTCAGTTGATATTCTGCATGTTGTGTGGAACTGCAAGAAGTGTACTGTGAGCAATCTAAGCTATCTCTTCTGCCGGATGTGCACCCTGCTGGTGTCAGAATGCACAGCATTATTGACAAGATTGTAGACCTCTGATATTTCAAACAGCAAGCAAAAAAAAGGAATAGACACATAACCACAAGACACACGTTCCTCCAGCTCCTCTTGCTCATCTGCTCCATCTCTGTGGAGGGACAGGAGGGCTTGCCCACTCCCTAAAGCACCGCCTCCCTGATGCTATCTCAGCTCCTGCCCAGCTCTGGGGGCTACAGGTGATGGTGGGTCTGCACATCCCTCTGCTTAGAAATCATCCGATGGCAAGAAAAAGGACCCGACTTACACTGCTGACATCTCATCTCTGCATTCACCTCAGACACCACGAGAGCAGCCCTGGACTGTTATCTGATCACTGTACAAATCATTGGCTTTGATTTGTTTCCCGTCACAGCCCAGGCAGGCAGCTAATGCGGCCTTTTTAACAGCAAATTGCTTCTGGGAAAAAAAAGGCAAATCAATGGTTTCTCCTTTAAGCTGCGGAGTAGCCTAAGTGCATTTTCCAGGGAACTGTGTAATGCACCGTTTAATCACTGAGAACTTGAAAGACTATCACGTCTATAAATAAGTGGAAAGGCTGAACACTGCATTCATTCACTCACTCCCTCTTGTCCAGCCCCTCTGCTGGAGGAAAGAGCTCTGGCCTGCAAAGCGCTTTATTTCTGAACTGCTGGTGTCACTGTACCCAAGACCTGTTTTTTTCTTTTTGGAGGTTTACAGTAGAAAACCATGAAATCGTCAGAGTACAGTGTCGAAAAGCCCCAGTGAAAAACATTACACAGTATGCTTGAAGCATATCCAATCAGGGTGCTGGAAGACCAATGATTTTAACTTAATCTGAGCATTTGTGTGGAATTAAAATATTAGTTTAAATGTCAGATTGTAGTTACAGACTGTAGATTTGCTTTTTGACCTGATCACGAACTAAATTTGGCTCTTAAGCCTGCTGCTCTTAAATCCTGAAATGGATCAAACTGCTTTGCAATAGGAGTCATCTTTCCACGCCTGCACACCCACATGCACACGCTCTCAGAAGGCGTCTATTTGGAGGTACTCTCCCCGCGCTGCTTCTGAATATATCATTTTTATGCATTTAATCAGTTTAACACTGAATGGATATGCTGCGAGATAAATTGGCCTGCACTGATAGGGAATACAAAGTAGGTGCAGTAGAAACCAGAATAATAAAACACTCCCAACAGAAGAATCATTTGCATTTCCTTAAATGCTGAAATGCGCTGCAATGTCGTCCACGTGTGCAAAAATTAATTAAGAAAGGCCAAGATGTCAGATAAGTAGGAATAAAAGAAACCGAAGATTAAAAAGTCCCCCTGAATATTCTGCACGTAATCACTAATTCCAGCAATTGAAGCACAATGACCTTAAAACAATCCGTATGTCAGGGTGCTGAGTTTCAATGGCATGAGCCTATGCCTGAATTTTGCAAATTAGTGTGCTTCCTCTCACTATTTTTACAACTATTCCTATATTTACTTTAAATTTTCTTTACTCCATTCTATTGCTCTTTAGGGATGAACCAGAAGCAGTATACTTGTGTAAAACTGATGTAGGTACAGGTTTGTCTCGGAGCTTTTGAAGAAACATCATGATGGGTTTGGCTTTCAACTTAAAAAAAGAAGAAAAAGAGAGAGAGCACGCTTCTGAGCTGTGGTGGCATCCTTGCATTTTTGCAGCTAAGAAAAACAGCAGGGATAAACCTCTGAGTTAGCCAGGAATTCACCCTCAGAGCAGCTTGTATCATTAGAGCCCAGGGTACTGCTCTGAGCCTTAAACTACTGCTCTGTATGTGTGCATAATTGGAAATATATGTGTCGTTATTTTTGGTCTGAAAGTCAATTTGAAATCTCCGTGCAGTGGGTAAGATCATAAACATTCCTCTGAACTCAAGGCAGAATGTCAATGTTTGTGTGCTTTGAGTGTTTAACTTTCTCAGTGCAGACTGAGGACCAGATGGATGATTGAAAAAGCTCTCCACCAGCTCCCTCATTACGATCTCTCCCTCCTGACCGCGGTGGAAGCTGGGGGGATTTGTGAACCATGTGCTGACAGGGCCAAGTTCCCAACATGGATGTTTGCTTTTAGAAAAAAAAAACGGATGTTTTCCACAAAACCAGATGGCAGCACAGAGTCCATTGTACAAAAACTGGAATCCTTGCTTACTTAACATTAAACTTCACCATATATTGCTTTTCGTGGTGTACAAACCACCCTGATCTGCAGATGTGTTGCAGTCATGGACCTATAGAGGAAGCACACAGAGTGATTTCTGTTCAGGCAAGAGTGTGAAGCTAGTGGAACTTTGCATATGGAATAGACAGAAACTATCTGCCTGTAATTTCAGATCTTCCCAGACTCCCAGACCTAAATTGCCAGTGTCTCAGAAGTTGGGCTCCACACGTTCTCCAAACAAGCAAGGTGATGCTTATTCTAGCTTCAGAAAAAGGTTTTGCAGATTTGTGCCTGTGACCTCCATGAACTCAAACTGTCGCAAAGACGAGGGCTTCAAGTAATAGTTACATGATGGACATCAATATCAAAGAACTTGTAGCTAATGTGTGCAACTCTAAATGAAAACCATTCAAAATGGAAAGGGAAGGACACCAGCAAAAGCACATGTTTTCTTTCACAAGCTTTCATGCTCCTTTCCTATCTTACCAGGCTCTTCCCCCTCAATTACTTCTCATTTCTCAGTGGGTCCCCCTGCTGTGCCCTGACCCTTGGGCCTCTACCTGCGGGGTTCCCATATCCTCTTGAACTCACTGCCAGCCTCTGTGGCACTGTCCTGGAACTGCCTAGCTCTCCCTCAGCTCTCAGGCCAGCCTCAGCTTTCGCTTCTACCCAACCCTTGACCAAATAACACATGAATCCAAGACAGACAGGTAACATGACTGACAGCATGATGCACCGTGATCCTGATAAACGTTCCCTGCGCACACACTGGATTACCGGGCTCGGTGCACATAAGGGCCAATGCAAGCAGCACACAGACTGTTAGGGCATTAACTGTAAAACTATGTTTGTTTGTGTGAGGAAGGCCTTCTGCAAGCCCTCATCATATGACCTCTTAAGAGATCTTTTGTGATTTTTATTCATATATCACATAGCGCATTCTGGTGCACTATGGCTGCTGTCGCATCATCCAGATGGATGCTGCACATTGGGGGGATCACGAACCATTCACAAACCATAAGAGATTATTATTACTACTACTACTCTGTTCTCCTCCTGACTGATATCTGATATATGATGAGTGTACCGTGCGCACTATGGCTGCCATTGCATCATCATCCAGGTGGATATTATTATTATTATTATTATTATTATTATTATTATTATTATTATTGCCTATATTGTCATTCTCATTCGTGTACTAGGTGTTATTGTGGTTATCATGTTTGTGTACTACCTGATGTGGATCCAGTGTTGTCCCTGTCCCCCGTCTGCTCCGTTCTGTGTGGGGTTACGGACCCTGACTCACCTCTGGTTTCAATACAGATTTACCTCATCAAGAGATTTACCTTTATCAAGAGATTTACCTTTATCAAGAGGGGCTGGGGGTGGAGCTTGGTGTTTTTATCCTGGCACTCACACGGTAGCACACAATCTCTGTCTTTGTCTGATTGGTGTTACCTGCTGTATCACCTGTATCACAGCCAGGTTTGTATCATACCTTTGGTCATTAAAAATGTTAGTGGGTAGTGGGGAATTCACTGGAGAAGTACTGTATGTGTCTGTGTTCTTTGTGTGTTTTGTCTGCTTCTTTCATAAGCAATTTTCCTTGCACAGGAGTCAATAGACACTTCAGTCAATAGTCCCAGGATTTGCACTTTATTTTTTGCGTCTTGTCTATTCTTATGACTCTTGTGACCAGCTCTGGAGTTACTGTCAGATGGTTTAGTCACAATATGTGAGCTTGTTGCTTGAATGAGGAGTTGCTGTGTGAGTGGGGACAGCAGGTTGTCTCACTCTGACCCCATTCTAACCCCTTTTACTTTGACCGCAGAGACTCTCCGTCTCCACGTACACACAGCTCCAGCATGTTCTGAGGTGTGACTACAGCAGAACCCACTGTGGTGAAGAAAAACAGAAAAACAAAACCATAAATTAAAGTTTGCCTGTTTTTCTCTTCTTTTTTGTCAGCTGTGCTTTGTTAGTCATATTCCTAGTGCTTTGTTCTCTCTTTCTTTTTTTTTTGGCAAAAATGTCATGACAACAACTACTTCTCTACAACATTGTTTGCCCTATCTTGTGGGTGGTACCTCAAACAAAATGCAGCAGACAAAAAATACAATATCCATTGGTAAACACTGTCTGAAGTGTCTCAATGGGACTGCATCCAAAGGGGGATTTACTGCATTAATAAATCTTCCTCCTTCTTAAAACAAGACAGATGCTTTCATGTGGGTTACAAAACTCCATTTTTGTGACCCTTCTGTTGCAATGAATTCATCGATGTGATCATAAGACATTATAATGAAAGAAAATTGAATTCATTACCATGTGATAATCCATAATTGAATGAAAAAAATCCCAAAACTTTTAAAGAAAGCTCCTAACAGCCGTGCCAAATGCCCCCTTAAAATAATTCGAAATGCATGGCTAATCTGGATTTAGTCCTGTGCTCTTACTATTTTACCACCCTTGTGAAGCAGAGGTGAAGAGTGCAGACCCTGAGGCTTCACTTATTTCAAATGTTTGCTTACAACAGTCTTTGAAAAGAACTTATTAATTGCCATAGCAACTAATGGCAACGAAATGCCACAACAGCAATTACTGGTGAGCTGCATAAATAACCAAAAGAAAAGCCTACCTTTGATAACCGCTGTTTTCTGAGCTGTAATGAGACCAAGACCCTCTTGATGTTTTTAAATGCTGATGCACAGGATGGTGGGGGATGGGTGTAAATGCATTTAAACAGCTATTTTAAACTCTCGCTGCAACTCTCAAACAATACTACGTCAGTGTTTTGCTGGGATCTAACTCTATGCACTAAAAAGATATCTGCTCATTGCCTTTTCTGATAACCTTAATTCTTTTTGATGCTGCATCTCTTCCGCTGTTAAGATCTTTGCTAATTGCTTTGCTAATTACCACTCAAAACAAAATCATGCAAAATCCCATGAAAAAAAGCATAGATCTATATCATGACAACATTTAATAAATACAACTGAAGACACCATATTTTGCTGTAAACATTTCTTGAAGCAAAAACACCAGACCATATTTGTTGCCTATTGTAAACCCCTCCAATATTTTTTGAAGTTTTTTTGAAGGTTTATTGACAGTGAGCATGGTATTTGGTGAATCTGCTGTGGGGAAAGTCTCTGACTGAGCCCTGTTGTTCTCTTTAAAAATGCACCCCCCCCCCTCTTCCGTGTGTAAGAATCACCATCAGCCCCCTCAAGCCTGGTTCCTCCCCTAGCGTGTGAAAAATTATGCTGAACAGGAAACAACTCATCAGGCTCTCAGACACTCCAAACCATGCACAGCCTTTCAATTTTCAGGCGTGCCGAGTATTTGCGGTCAGGTAACAGACACCTCTTTCTAAGAAAAAGACCACTGAAGGATTTACAGCATCATGACAACACAAAGGCTCAGTCTTGAATTCTTTCCTGTAATTGCCATCCGCATGTTCGCACATACCGAACAAAACACTTTTTTTTTTAAACCAGCCTGTTAACAGATGGATAAGGGGTGACTGAGAGGCACAATGCCATAAAACCCAGCATTATCTCCTCCAGCAAGTGCTGCAGACTTCAAAAGCACAGAGCTAATGGGAAATCCAGAGAACAACAAGGTGCCTAATAGCTTTACAGAGATGGAGTTATAGACTCTGCTGCACTGACACCACCTTTCACGCTCTCAGACATAAAGCGTCACTCAATTTCTGTGGTTTTCTTCCCGTGACGGAGACAATGCCCCTGCTGTGAGCTGTGATCCTCATGCCTGCAGACCAGAGGAACCACGCTTGTTTGAGTTTCTGGGAGTGGACTGGTTTTTGAATGATGTATACAGCATAATAATCTCAGAGGAAGTTGTCCATCAGGAAGGAAAGAGGCAACTCCGTTTTTTTTAAGGTTAATTCGTTGAACTTGGACTTTTAATCGACGCAAAAAAAAGAATGTAATTTCCCCATGCGCTTTTTCTGCAAAAACGTAAATACTGTACACCATTTTCCCCCGGTGCTTGACTTTCAAAGGTTGTCGGGGCAAATCATTGCGCGTTCGGTACACTTTCCTATTGTACTGTTTAACCATCAGGCTCCTGACCACAAGAAGCATTAGCACTCCTTCAGGTAGAAAAACACAGCAAACCGATCAAACAAAAGACTTCCCACATTAGCAGGAGGCACAGATGGAGTGGGCCGCCCACTGAGGGCACTTGGCGATCCGTATCAAGATCTGATCTTTCCTGAAACCTTCTGCCAGCAGATAAATGTTTTCTAGCCGCAGCCTCTGAGCTCCTAGCGAGACTGTTAATGCATGTCGTTGTGGTTTCCGAGGCAGGCAGACTGGATTAAAGTGAGGCTTGTTATCATGACAAAGTCACGTCAGCCAAAACTTCTGCATTCTTTCTCGGTCTGTCAGCATCACAGTGACGTGCCTTCACACTGTTTGAACTGCACAGGTAGATGAGATGCAGGATTCGAGCACCATTGTGACATTAAACATCACACAAACAGGCCACTTCGGGCTTATACGATATGCATGAGTTTCTATGTTCATATAAGTGATTTCACATTCAATATGAGTCGCTCAATTTCATTTATAGTCTTGAAGCATTTCGCAATGACGGCAGTATTTTTAATGTTCTGTAAGTCCCTTTATAACTTAGTCCAGTTTCAACGTCATCACCAAAATACTAGTCTTGGCTTGATATAGTCACTAAAATAAAACAGGCAACACTGCCATGTTCTGTGTATATGTGTCCTAGAAACAGTTTAATGCTGATCTGATAGCCAGCTGTCTCAGCTTTTACAGTGAACATTGACAGCCAGAACTAACATTAGCCTGACCGCTACTGTAATGTAAGACCTGGAATTAGAGTCCTAATAATGTCACCACTATGTGAGAAGCCATCAGAGCTTCACTGGCTGCACCTGCTGAAGGAGCTGATCGCCGTCATTCACGGCACAGGGGTTCATTTGCACCATTTGAGAAGCACAGGGCCCTGCTGCACTCAGATAAGCATTTCCATGCATAGCGGAACTGCCCAGTTTTCTCACAGTCCCATATGCTTGGTATAATTACTGGCTTTCTGCAAGACTGTTGTGACAGGTCTCGTAGCATGATGAACAGGACTGAAGCACTGTGTAGCAGGAGACCAGTCTTTTGAAGCAAAGGATTACACTGGAAGGGGTTATGTGGTTCAATACCTGAGAGGTGATGACTGAACAGGCTGTGAGGCTGTCTGCAACCTACATCAGGCCATTGTAAGCAATGCTAAGCTACCAGACTCTGCTGTATATTATCTCTACAGTCAAAGCTGTTAATTTCTATATGGTTGGAGATAAAAAAAATCAAAGTGCAAATACTGGCTCCTTAGTTTTGCCTCCTTAAACACAGATACACCATTACTCCAGGCTCCAGACTGGTGTGAGGAGGGATGACTGACAAGCTATGTGGAAGACGATCCAGTACTTTCACGTCGCAGCAGAAACACCAGATGTTACCATATGATGTCCTGAAGCAGCAAGAGTGGCCAATGTCGATAGGCTTGGCGTTGGCGAAACTTGAACACTATCTGCTTTTATGGTTAATGTCACAAGGGGTGGACTTGGTTCCAGACACAGCTCCTCCTGAAGAGCACAAGTGTCCCTTTTCTGGAAGCCCACACGACGAGAGGTATTGTGTTCAATGTTGAGTCATGTACATAATACTGTATCAGAAAAAAGCACTTTTATTAAACCAAAGAAAAACAAAGACATCTTGTTACCATAGGTCCCATTACAACTACAGAATTCTCATTTATCATACAGCCCTCACACAGGGCCTGATGCAGATGCTCACCCTGAAACCAAATGTTGTTAGGTTGACTCTTTTCTTAAAATGACAGGATCTTATGTGCATATTTCTGGAGCTATAAGTGCATTTATCCTATGGGCTTTCTACACTTGTGTCTTACAGGGTATGCTGCCAACTAGCTTCTGGTGTCAGCAGCACTGGAAGTGACACAGTGTGAGACTGCATGTGTATGTGACCCACTTGCAGCAGCAGCCTGCATATCAATGTAGCGGCCCTGTGCTACAGCGTAGGGTTGTTTCGGCAGGAGCGAGCAGCCACACCAGTATAATTAAGATCTCCTTTGGAAGTGACAGCAGAAATAGCAGGCATGTGGCAGAGTGAAGCTCTGCAGCTCAGCTGTTTCCTCTCAGAGCTGTCACTGGGAGAGCTCAGACGGGGGCGGAGGGGGGGGTCTGACAATCATATTTATAGCACACCCACATCGCTAAGTGATAGATGTCACCTTCGCTCTGCTGCCCTAGGGCTCAGTGCTGCACCTCCTGCTGCGAACTAACAAGCTGCAAAGTGCTTTTCATGGGGAAACAAAAAGACAACAAACCACCAACACAAAACAAGACAAAATCAACATTGTTCTTTTTTTTCCTGCTTGCCATGCTAATGCATATCGCCAAATTAGTGCGCGTCTACACTTTCTGCAGAGGTTATTTTATGAAAATAAAGCATTAAGACACAATCCTTCTCTCAAAATCTCAAAAAGTTTTGAGAAGTCATGACAAAGACCTGCACCAACAATGAACACTCACAGAAAAGCACCTCGGGCCACCCGGCACTGCCAGCAAACATTGTTTTCTGACATTTTCAATCATTTGCTTTGACATGAAGAGCTTTTGATGAACAAAGGTTGAACTTTCTTAGGTGAAGTCATGGGAAAGTAATGCTATTCAGGTCGTGTTCATATCTGGGGTAAAACACGGAGTACAAACCTGGAACATTTCAGCTGTGTACTCAGCTAGCGTCATTTTAGCTGTTTCCAGTTCTTTGCTTTATATTACAAGTGTTCCCGAACAATGCAACCCATTCTCCATGTTTGCTCACTCCAGACAGATGTGTGTCCGACGCAGGACGGCTCACACATCCCCGACATGCACATGGATTTCCAAAGCTTTCTTGCTCCTGAGGGAAATATGCTCTTCATGATCCAAAAGCAGCTACAATCTGTTTAAAGTTGCAAATGGCGTTAAGAGGTAGCAGTTCCGGGACTGGGAAATGAAATGCATTCATACGACTATTTATCAAAACGACTGCAGAAAGCTAGCTTGATTTTATCTGGAGCTGGAGACCCTCGACCTACAGTTTGTATTGGAGCAAAAGGCCTTGACATTACATCTGACTTGAGTCCCAGTCTCTGTGTCGCTTTTCCTGGAGGTTGGAGTGCTGTGTCCGTGCCAGGCCTGTGCTGCTGGCTACCGCTCAGAGCCTGGCTGACCCTGGTTTGGCAGAGGCCGACAGTCAGAGACTGAAATGGATCCCGTCAGAATGAATGTGTTGACATTGCTTTAATTCAGCTCGACACCAGACACCGACTGGCTGGACAGGGTGTTAACCTCATGGGTCTTCGTGTCCCCACGGCCTCCCTGGTTCAGCGCGGGGGCAGAGCCGAGCGTTTTAAATTTAGATTTAAATCAGAAAGAGGCTTTCAGCTTTTCCTCACTGCCCGAACTGACTTTCTTTAACCTCGTGTGTTTCGGAAAACTGTTGCAACACATACAGTAGCAAGTTAGTCTGTTAATACCCTACAAATGAAGCACCAATGATTGCTTATTATGTGCAGGAGGGATCATCATCAGGCTTATTTTCCGAAGGATCCCTGAGCAATCAGCAGGGCAAGATGTGTCATGTTTGTTCAGGGCCATGAATGCATACTATGTTTAATGGCTGTCAGGCTGTAGAAGAGTTGGTGGGGGTTTTTTTGTGATCTGTAACTGTCATAGTGGTGGAAAGGCAAGGGAAGCCTGGGAGGGGGACAGCAGAACTGGACTCAGTGCTCAGGCTGCGTGGAGAGGGGCTGAGCAGATAGCACAGTCCCCGCAGACACCAGACCACCGCGATGACAGGTGTCACCAACCGCAGCTCCTCAGCTCTGTCCTGTGAGGGAGGCGAGGACAAGCTCATGCTGGTGTCGATGAACGGGGCCTGGAGTACGACCATCCCAGGCTCAACCACCACCCCTCTGTCCTGCTGGGCCTGATGCTAGTCTCCACACTGTCATACAGTACACCCCCCAGGCTCAGCCTGTCCCAGGACAGCATGGGGTGATCATCTCTAAAGAAGATAAGATAAGATCACTTTATTAGCCATATACAATTTCTTGCATTTGGAATTTGTCTTTTCGCATACCCCAACTTGCTCTCCATAAGACACACAGAGAGGAAGAGAAGCTTGGGGTCAGAGCACAGGGTCAGCCATTTAAGGAACCACTGTGCAAAATAACTGCTAAAACTAGTGCATAACTGCAAAGAATGGACTCTGGGAAGAAAACTGGCCTAGGATTCTGCTTCCTTCTAAACATGCCTATTTTCTCTTTGCACATGACACGCACAGACCATGACATTTTTTTTTTATGTCAGCCGTTCACTTCCAGAAATCTGTTGACAGTACGTGATACTGGGCCCCGTGTTAGCGGCGTTTTGACATTCTCCCCATCACAGGTTCATGTGAGACATCAGCAGAAAGTGCCGTCTGGATAAGGTTCCAGCCCATTAATAACCCGACGCTGAGCCGGATTAAAATATAGGATTGGGTTACGCTGCCTGGAAGGGACCCGCATTTACTTGGAAGGCGCAGCATATTAATTAGCATTCCTTTAATTGCAGACTCCGTGTGAATGTAAGCATATTTGGAGAGCTTGCATAGATGCAGTTGGGGCTCTGCTTCCTTCTAAGCCTGTGGACGGACTACTTCTCAACACCGAGGACCCCCGGCCCCATCCATCACTGTCTGCTCTTCACCCCTCGACAGCCGTGAGAATAACCGGCTGGTGCCGGGCCAGTCCCTGGATCCTGCTTCCCAGAAATCTGCCTGTGTCCGTCAAACTTAAAAGCAGCTGGCAGGCCTGCACACGAGGGTCATGTTAGCCTCAAGTGTGAAAATGAGATGCTCGTACAATAAATGCCATTTAACAGCAAACTCGTTAAGAGGTTTCCAGCCATGCCTGGCGATCTTTGGCTAAACAGCCTCATTAGCAGCAGGGGACCTAATATCAGCGTCCCGCTTCAACACTGTTAAGACTTAGATTCGCTGGGGGCTGCAGTCCTGCCAGATTAAGAGGAGTTCTTAATAATAACATTATTGATTTTAGAGTGTGGAGATCTGTCGCGTCAAAACGAACACTCCCCAGAATACAGTATGGGGCAAAGGCTCCCCGTGTGTTCTCTAGAAATGATGCAGAACTGAGGAATTTCATTTCTCAAAACGTTTTGCGAAATGTCTCTCCATGGACGAACAGCAACATCTCATCTGGCCTATACCCGGGACATCTGGTGAGAGCTGGCTTGTCATATGACCAAGTCACATGTGCACAGGCAGGACGTAACAGATCTGGGCAGACACAGGAGAGAGCAGATCGAAGAACAGAACAGAGAAGGATTTACGAGCAATTAAGAAAGAGCGTGTGGCAACAGTTAAACACTTTAATCTGAGGGATTATTGTTCAAGGCTGAAAGTGAGAGAGGAGTGCATGTGTGTGTTTGTGTGATAACTGTTGTAAGGGATCCTCCCAGAATAAATTAGCCCTTTATTTTCTCCCTGTTTTATGTTGTATTTAAAACAAACAAACAGATGGAGGTAAGGAATTGTATCTCCGTGGCAAAATCAGCAACTTCCATCCAGGTGAAATTTCAATTTCTCAGAATTGTTGGCTAAGCGGCTTTCTAGTTGTGCACATCTCTAATATGCATATTTGGTCATAAGTATCATGTACATGGGCATCATGGTTTTGTTTATGTATATATATATATGCTACTGTATGGTAATTTGTTCAAAATCTCAGTGATCATGCATCCATGGCTGACAAAGGCTCTGGGGGAGTCCAGTTCAACTGCCCAAGAGGACGAGCTCCAGGATAGCATCATCTTCAGAGCCTGAGCCTCGATCCTGAGCCACGTCCCGGGCTGCGACGCCAGGTCGCCTGGCCTTGGAGGGGAAGAGCAGGAGGGTGTGCCTCTTTCCAAAGGGTTGTCTTCCCCTCCAGGGACCGACTGCAGCTCTTTCCCTTTCTGACAGAGAGAGGCTGTGCCGTAAGAAAAGCTCAGCTCAGGGAGGCAGAGCTGGGGCTCGGGTAAAGAGCTGAGGGACACCAGCACGAGACTGCCTGCTACCATTTGTTCAAATTGCTGAAGGCTTTTAAATTTTAATGGGAATAAACAAGCCGGGCCCCAGCTGTTAATCAGCAAGTAGAATGCAGAGTAGATTCTGCACCATTACTAGAAAGCGTTTTTTTTTTAACTTAAAGAATTATTCATTCTCATTTTATGCAGAGACTGTGGGTGAAATAATTAGAGTTTTAAAATTCAGCTCAAGAAAGAGACTTGAATCACTTGTTGTGCAGGCAAATGGTGAAATTCCATCGACTGGATGCCCTGTTCTGCTCATAAAATGCTCTGTTATATACTTAAATCATCTGATCAGAATGAGTCCACCAGCAACATCACAAGACGCATTCAAGATGAAATCAGATTAACGAGACAGATTAACCACACCAAATTAAATGAATTTATAAGGGGAAGATTAAACAACCGTAATAACATGTAAATGTTAGGTTTAGCTCAAAGCAAGGGAAGAAGTACCATAAAGACAGTATACAGAGAAAGAGAGAAATTGAAAACTGATTCTGCACCCAGTTAGTCCGTACATTTTACACCTTGAAAAATCCATCAAACACGGAACTTATCCTTTCATTTACTGAGCAATTAAAATTACAAAAGTAGGAAATATAATTATTATCAGATATATTTAAACTCATTTTGATGATTCAACAACAGGTATTAGTCTAAGCTCTGAGGAGACCGTGTATGGTAGACTGCATACCAGCTATTAATTTCTCTAATTATTATATGTATATGATTAAAGTCACATCTCAAGGTGCTGCATTGCTAGTTTAATTAATTTTTCTCTATTATTTTGAAAAGGAATGTTCAAGAGATATTTCAAGCTCGAGAGGCTGCGGACATACAGGATCTCATGACTTGCTCTTCTTTTCCCAGGACTCACATTCCTGTGGTCCATTACTTTTACTTGCTCCCTCCCTCCTTTTCCTCACCTAAGCATCCCTTTTTGCCCCTTCCTTCCCCCCCCCCGTCCTCTAACTTCTACCCTCTTTCTGGTTGTCCCCCTCCTCTCCCTCGCTCAGCTGTGTGCGTCTGGTTCAGACGGGAGGCCAGCTGAAGAGCTCGCTGAAGAGCCCTGGAGAACCGCTGAGCAGCTCTCTCCCGCCACCTCCCAGGAAAGTGATTGAAACCACATCCACCTTAATGACAGACTGAATTAAAATGCTCCGCAACTGAAATATGATTAAAAGCCTCTCGTCTCCAAAAGACGTGCAATAATTTATTTATAATTTATTCTAATAGCCCCTGCCACTGACTCTAACTCTCCCCCCTCTCCACACACACACACCGATTGCATCCATACAGATTCACACAATCTGCCTCCCCTCCTCCTCCACCAGATCACACTGCTAGAATCTCTGATTTCTCACTACAGGAAATACAGGGGCATGCACAAAAGCTCTGCCTCCAAATGGATGCAGCTCAAATAACTGTCACGCTGGCCTGATGCATTCACACCGTCTCCGGGCGCAATCGCACAATTTTCCAGGACCAACAAATCTCTGGGTCTGGAAACGAAATCAAGGAGATGCGTGTCAGGGAAATGAACGCTTCAGAAGCACGCTGCTTATTTGCATCTAACAGCCACTAGTCTGTCATTAAGCAATGATCAACATATAATATTAAGCCAGGCAATTTGGATACTCTGAAAGTAGAAATAATTAGGAAATGAGTCGTGTACGACTGAGCCTGTCGTTATGAGACAGGAGGCTCCTTACAGCCCTCAGAGCTATGCCTTTTTTACATAAGCTGTTTTAATTCTGTGTGTCAGGCTGGGCAAGTAATTAAAGGATGAAGTCTCTGAACTGTATGGGAAGTGTCACCCTCTGTCATTTTCTCTGTTTACCTTTGGCTTCCATACATCTATTTGCTCAGAGGTTATTACTGTCCTGGTGATGAACCCCATCTCCCCTCCTTCACTAAGTGCAATTTACTGTCAGTCCAGCATCCTGCAGACTGCACGACGTCACAGGCAGACACTGGCACTGCGGTTTCACAGGCACCTTGCTGCCTCTCTGTTCACATCCTTCCAAATTTCACACCTCAGCACACAGGATAGAAAAATAAAAAAAACCCCGCCGGACAGAAAGAAATATATGGATTTTTTTGTGTTGTATGGTGGGAGGGGAGAAAAACAGTGCAATGCTATCTACAACCTGCTAAATCACAGCCTTCTATTCTCAATTCCATTTTCACAAATTCTTTATAAAACCGCTCGCAAGTATTTATTATTTGATGTCTGCAACTGTAGACACGTCAGCTATAGCATCTGTACCTGCTGAAACTGGAGCTCATTAGTTTAATCTTCAAATCTAGTCGCCATTCCGCTCGTCCATATAATGGATATAAGGTACACCCACAGCTTTTTCTAAAACAAATTACCGCAGCTATTTTTAAAACAAAGATCTGCAGCTTTAACTTCTCCGTTTTTAGTTTTGTGAATATATGTGTGGATCGTACTATAAGATAAGAAGTCAGCAAATTATAGCTTTTTAATCCCAGGATTCAATTACTTCTGAGGCCTAGCGTTTTGTGTTTTTTTTTAATTGCTTGAAGCAGGCTGGGCTTAGCCGGTTTGTAAATTATTCTAGCGCAGGGAATAATGAATCAAGTACTAACCTTGCACTCCAAGCAATTAGGTAAATCTGCCTGTTTGTTAGTCTGGCAGAAGCGAGGCATAAGATAAATACAACCTTTCTGCCATCGTATTGTTGTATAATTTCATTAGGTTCACGCTTTATCAATTTACTGTATTTGTAGGTAGCTTTTCTAAATTGCTTGTGCTTATTAATGCTCTTTAAAAAAGGATAGTTTATGAGCTGCACCAGGGCTATTTAGATTTGTATTTATTCTGCTTGCTTCCCACTGGAAAGGGCAGGTTTGTGTGTGCCTGTACTTGTTGTGGTGGTTTTAATCAGTGGATTCCCATCCAGAATT